AGCTCCCTGAATGAGGCCTGCCCACAAGGGTACTCATACCTGGACAAAGCCCGCACAACTGGGCGGGGTGGGGGCCTTGCTGTTTTATTTCGCAGCTACTTTGCAGTGTCCCTCCTGTCTGTACCCGGTGCTTCCTCCTTTGAAAGCCTTGTTTTTAAATGCAATAATCCTTTCTCTGCTACAGTAGCTGTCATATATCGCCCCCCTAAACCACAACCAACTTTCATTTCTGACATTCATCAGTTCCTAATCTCTCTCTGCACAGCACACTCAAATATTCTTGTAATTGGTGATCTCAATATACACATGGACTCACACACTTCCCGTCTAGCTGCCGAATTCAAACAGGTTTTGGACTGTCTAAATCTTCAACAGCTGACAGATGGCCCCACCCACAGCAAAGGGCATACTCTGGACCTTGTTATAACTGACTCCCTTCCACTCACCAGCATCAACATATACGATGTTGGTGTCTCAGATCACCTGGCAGTTACATTTAGACTCCCAATAACCTTTTTCACCAAACCAAAACGCCATATCACTTTCAGAAACATCAAAAACATTGATTCCTCATCCTTCAGCTCACATCTTCAGCATCTTTCCCCCTCTCCACTCTCATCAGCCAGTGACTTAATGGACTTCTACAACACAAGCCTCAACTCCATCCTGGATACTCATGCTCCTGTAATAACCCGGACTGTCACATTCACACGTTCCGCTCCTTGGTTCACCAAAGAGCTAAGGCAAATGAAGAGGTCTGGCCGTGTCCTGGAGCGGGCATATAAAACATCTGGCCTGACGGTGCATAAATTGGCCTACCGGGAACATCGCAGAAATTATGCAACAGCCCTCTCCAAGGCCAGGTCCAATTACTACTCCTCGCTCATCAACAATAACCCAGGTAATTCCAGAAAACTCTTTTCCACAATCAGCCATATTCTCAAACCACAGGTCTCCTCATTCTACAACCACACAGATATAAACTGCAACCGGTTTCTGGACTTCTTCATATCAAAAATAGACAGCATCCGCTCTTCACTTTCACCTTCAAACAGCACCACTATTGATACCCCTGAGACATCTCCCACACAACTCCTATCACACTTCTCTCTGCCAACGCAGCAGGAGGTCGAGAACATCATCCGCAAATCTAAATAATCCACCTGCTCTTTAGATCCCCTCCCATCCCCTCTGCTCAAAACTCACCATCAATCCATTAGTCATCTCATAACCAAAATAATAGCCAGTTCGCTGGAAACGGGTACCGTCCCATCTACCCTTAAAACTGCCCTCATTAAACCCCTCCTAAAAAAAACCACCTTGGACCCTGAACCTCTGTCAAACTACAGACCCATTTCAAACCTCCCATTCATCTCCAAACTCCTAGAAAAAGTTGTTTCCACCCAGCTCCACAACCACCTTAAATGCAATAATCTGTATGAAAAATTCCAATCTGGTTTTCGCCCCTCCCACAGCACAGAAACAGCTCTCATCAGAGTCACCAGCGATCTGCTGATGGCCTCTGATTCCGGTTTCACGTCCCTCCTCATTCTTCTTGACCTGTCTGCTGCGTTTGACACAGTAGATCACCACATCCTCCTCCACCGCCTCCAGCATTTCATTGGTCTCTCTGGCACTGCCCTCCACTGGTTTCACTCCTACCTCACTGACAGGACCGAGTACGTGGCCCTGGGGGAGGCAAAATCCAGACCTCACACTGTCACCTGTGGGGTCCCCCAGGGCTCCGTGCTCGGCCCTACCCTGTTCACCATCTACATGCTCCCCCTTAGTTGTGTCGTCGGCAGGCATGGGGTCAACTTCCATTGCTATGCTGACGACACACAACTTTACATTAAAATGACTCCTCCCAGCTCCCCCGCCAACTCTGTCACCCGCCTCAGCTCCTGCCTGGAGGATATAAAGGCGTGGATGAGTCAAAACTTCCTGCAGCTTAATGCCTCAAAAACAGAGGCCATCCAAACTGGTACTCCTCATCAACTCCGTTCCTCTCCTCTCACCTCTGTTTCATTCTGTGGTCATACCATTCCCCTCTCTCCCTCTGTTACAAGCCTTGGGGTCAAGCTTGACCCCCACCTCTCCTTTGACAATCATGTCACCTCCATCTGCAAAACGTCCTTCTTTCACCTCCGTAATATCTCTAAACTCCGTCCCTCCCTATCCCTCCCTGCTGCAGAGAAGCTCGTCCACGCCTTCGTCTCCTCCAGGCTGGATTACTGCAACGCTCTCCTCGTCGGGATCTCTGGCAGGAGCCTTCAGAAGCTCCAGTATGTACAGAACAGCGCTGCCAGGGTCCTGATGAGGGTGAGGAAACACCAGCACATCACTCCCATCCTTCACACTTTACACTGGCTGCCCATTCACGCCCGTATAGAGTACAAGATTCTTCTGCACACCCATCACTGTGTGCACGGTGCGGCCCCCATGTATCTCACTGAACTGCTCACACCACACACCTCTTCCCGGACCCGGTCAGGCCAACAGCACCGTCTGGCCCCACCCAGGACACGGCTAAAAACAATGGGCGACAGGGCCTTCGAAGCCGCAGCTCCCCGTCTGTGGAATGCCCTCCCAGACCACCTTAGGGCCCCACAGACGGTGGATTGTTTTAAGAAAGGACTAAAAACTTTCCTTTTTAGAAATTCCTACAATTGTTGATTTTAGATTTTCTTTAATAGGCTACGTATGCCTTTTAATGTATTGATTTTAATGACTGTCTTTTTACTCTGTTTTTAATGTTATGGTCTTTTAAACTTGTTTTGTAGCACTTTGAGATTTGAAATCAAATGTAAAGTGCATGATAAATAAAATTCATTATTATTATTAAATCCTGAATCACAGCAACAGCTTCCAAAGCAAATAATAGAAAAGAAAAGGAGCATTGTTTTCACCATGTTTGGTGGATTTCTTATTTGAGCTTTGGCAGCCTGGATCTCTGGGGGGAAGCTTTCATTTCACCAACAAAACAGACAAGAAAACCACTAACTTTCATTCTTAGCACAGGTTGATTATACTAGTATTACACTAGATTTATAGATAGAGGTACTAGCAAGAACTTTTTCAGCAAAACAATTATTTTTTCCAAAATAACACATCCCCATGATGTCTAGGGTGCAGGATAAAGTTATTATTTTTCCTGTGAAAATACAGGATATAAATTATTGTTTAATAAATTTTTTCCTGTCTAAAATACACAAATATTTACACTTTCTTTTGAGCAAAGATAACCAGATCCTAGTACTTCTGTGATACATGACGAAGACATAAAATGAGGGTGAACACAGTTCAAGCGTTTTAGTGTTGGTGCATATTTAAACGTGCAAAGAAAGTCATATGCCACACAGAGTTTGCTGCTTTTCTTCGGATCATGTAATTTCACCAAAAGGAAGCATTGGTGTTAGAAGTCCTGGCAACCAGCTGGCAAACAGCGAGGAACTAGAGCAGACGTGCGCCAAACTTACTGTCCTGGAGGAGTTACATTTGCAGCTGGCATCCTCATAGGGTTGATTATTGATTGGTTATGGATAACTGAAGTTATCATCAGTCATATATATAAACTGTAGAGCATTCGAAAAATATTTTAAATATTTAAAGTGCAGCTTAAAATTCTCTATTTTAACATTCAATCACAAAGTGAGGAATAATTGTGGTGTGGCAGGAAAGTTTCTAATTATACTCACCATTGATAAGTTTGTGGAGAGATTTCAATATGTCATGTAGTTTGGATACTTAAATCCAGGAACAGAATAGCTTGTCAAGGTTGATAGGAAGAGTTTTTAAACTAAGCATTTGCAGCCGGTTCGGATGTGACATTTGAGTGAAAGTCACTGTTTAGATAAAAGTATTTTGTGGTAGAATGACGCAATCAAAGTCCAGAATAAAATAGGATAGATAATCTCTGTCAAGACTGAAAAAGGTTAAGGTTACAAACTCAGCATCCAATTTTACTAAGCCTTAAATATTCAGTTTTATAGAGTGGGCAAGAGTTTAATTTGCTAGAAGTTAGTAGAGATATACTCCAAAATGAGCACAGAAATTCACAATATTGTTTAAGAGCTATTTTTGGAGTTCACATTAGCCACTTTGTTTTTCTATCACATTAACCCTTTAAAGCCTGATCCAAAAATAAAACAAAAAACAAAATTACTTTTTTTTTGTTTGAATTCCTTATTTGCCCTTTTAACAAAATATGTAAAAGGAAAAAACAGAAAAACATTTTTGATATTAATAATTTATTACTAAGCGATAAGTCAAGATAATTTTTTGTGTAGTCTTCTACTGGCTGTTATCGGGTATATCTGATTGTGTACAATAGGATTTTGAGCAAAGTTTTTACCATTAAATTATGCAAAAGGTGTCAGACGCAAAACATTTCAGAAACCGTATGCATCAAATACATTGCATTTGGCATTATAGGGTTAAATCGTTGTAAAAAAATAAAATAAAAAAAGCCAGGTGTGTGGTTTCATTTTGAGAAAAAGAGAACAATGGGTTTGAATTTCATGGGTATGAATACTTTTTGGAGACACTTTATGGCCAAAATATACCAGGCAACAACACCTTCATAAAGCAGACAGTAAGCTATGCTTCAATGAAATTTGGAGGTTATAATATATTATTGATCATGTTAGAAAGGCTTCATGAAGAGTAACGGGGGGAGAGAGAGAACATGTCAAATGAACCCGTCTATGTAACTCTCAATCAGTGGATACAAGGCAAGATACTAGGATTAACGCAGATGGTGCTTACTATTGATCCAAAACGCACACTTTTACTGACTAACAGCTCAATATCGGACTATTACAGGAAAACCTGATGCATTTGAGTGCTGATCCATAAGAGTGCTGCTTGATAATGCTGCAGAGGTTGCAGTGTCCTTAACCTGATGTGAGAACCACTAACTACCGACACAATCTTTGCAAACCACACAGATCTTAACTTTAAAGTTTATGGAACAGATAGAAATAAGAACAAAGCCAAAATGACCTTTCTGTATAGTTTATTTACAAAAATGTATTAAAATCCTTTGTACAGCGCCTCTTTCGATGAGGTTCAGTAAATTATGCATGCAACTTTTGCTCTTTTGTCACCATTACTACGCTTGGTGATTCATTTTTTTTGTTTTTATGTTGCTGTTTTTTCTGTCCGTTTCTGCAGGAAGTGACACCTACTTTAAAGAAGAAGAAAAAAAAAGAAATACAAAGGAAAATGACCAGGGTTTTGTCTCTAGCATTAACCTAGGATCAGTTTGTGCGTAGCAGAGCTCGTCAAGCATCACTGATTTCACATGCAACTCTTTAGAGAGAAAAAAAAAAAAGAAATAATATAAGAAGGGAAAACCCAATCACTCATCATGTAATAAATATTTCTTTTTTGTCTGAATGTACACATCTCCTCTGGCTTACTCTTGGTTTCTAATATAAAACTATCTGCCCATAGTTTTAGGTGATTAGATAAATACCCTCCTAAACCTGTGGAATCACAGTCTTTATGAAAAAAACACAATTAATCACAGCAGTATGGAAATGTGCTAAGCTCCAGATGCCCCAGTGTGATCTTATAAAAAGTCTATTTTTTGTTGCATTTATATTTTTTATCATTTACTAAGCAAAATCCCTAAACACTTTAATTTTCATGGAAGAAAATCATTGTGAATGCAAACCACAGCTCATTGAAAAATATGCAATTTGACAGAAAATGTAAAAAAAAAAAAAGAAAAAGAAAGAAAGCTACCGAAAATCTAACTGTGAGCCTTTATTTAGACTACAGTTAATCTACAACTTAAGTATCGATTTGTTTGGTTTTATGTTATTGTAAAGAAGACTTGAATTAACCCTAAGCTCAGGGAAAGACTCTTCAGAGCATCAAACTCCCCTTGATATTTTACAAATTGTCTACATCCCAAACATTTTTTCTTTATCCAGACTTTACATAATCATTGTCATACAAAACACACTCTTGGCAGTATTGGAGGTGCGAATCAGGACCCGGTTCATTTTATCTTCTTCTCCTCTTGAGTCCCATCAAAATTCTTTTCCGAAGACAGTGGTGGCAGCAGCATCAGAGTTCCACATACAAACACGCAGGTTTGTGTTTTGCTCTGATGCAACAGTTTTTTTTCTTCTACCAGTTCATGGTCATTCAAGGGATTCACAGCATTATAAAAAGCTATTATCTAATAACTGGTGCCCTACAGTGCACTGAAAAGATCTAGTAAAATAATTTGAATCACATTGAACCAGCGGAAAATCTGGCAGCGGAAGGATGAAGAGTAATCTGATCATAGTCATTACAAGAAACCAATTAGACACTTGTCATAATATATCATCTATCTGGCACTTCAAAATGTGCTTAGAGTTGCAAATGATGGCTTTATTCTGTCATTCAGGTGTGTATATATATATATATATATATATATATATATATATATTGGTTTTAACTCTGCACCATTCATCTGTTTTGTATGAGTTTCAAGCAAAAAGCATTATCATTGTGATCGAGTTGCATTGTTTAGACTCGGAGTTCCATAAGGCACTGAGAGGCGGAGGGAACCTCATCGGCTCTTCCCATGACCAGTCAAGTCGTGTCGTCAATGCGGATTATCATGCCATGAAGCACAAACCCCCGTGGTCCTGTGCCTTTCACAGATGTTAAGTCACAGTTGTAGAGGATGGATGAAATGTTTCGTAAACCTGTGTGAACAGACAGAGTAGAGACAAAGATGGGGAATATGAATCTTAAAATTAATAAAAAATTATTTAAAAAGTAGGTAAATGTGGAACGGTTGGAGCTGCTCATGATATTTTGCTTTTATTGGAAATAAATAAATCACTTGCAATTATTTCGAACCAATTTAGCTCCAAAAGGCTTGATCAATCTGTTTTCCTCAGACCTGTGCTGCTTTTAGTCAGTCCCATTTGCTTGGCAACGGCAGCAACAGAGAAACCCTTTCACCTTTCGTCACATTTCTGCCACTTTGCTGAAATTATGTCCTCTGTTTTCAACTAAATCTGTGCCACTTCTAACCAGTTAAAAGAATACAGAGTGTAAAGAATTTACTGCAGAAGTCTTGTATATAGGGATGCACGATATAATCGGCCCCCTATCGGTATCGGCCTGAATCGGCCTTAAAACTGAATATCGGACATCGGCCACCCCACCGATATTTAACCCGATATTTGATCAGCTTCTGAGTTTCTAAAAAAAATATATACTACTTCTTCTTCTTCCTCAAAAACTTCTTTTTTACAGACTAAAAAACTTTTAAAGACGAGGGAAAAAATATTGATACATTAAAATATCACAATATCTTCATATGCTGATATATTGCCATTTAAAAACACCATATCAATCTCTTTTACTAATGAAATATTGCTATATGTCATCATTATGCTACGAAATCCCCCGAAAATTCACGAAAGTTTGCCATATTTTTATGTGTTGATATATTGACGCGGTATCGACCTATTTTACAAACAAAATCTCACAAGAATTTGCAAAATATCACGAGTTTGTAACATCTGTATCGGTATCGGTTATCGGCTACATGAGTTTTAAAATATCGGCATATCGGATATCGGCCAAAATCCCAATATCGTGCATCCCTACTTGTATATATAATGCAAATGCACTCTATCAAAACAAAACGATAAAAAGATCTCATCAGTGGATTCTTGGATCAGTCACAGTAATAAGCTGATTGGAAAATGTGTTTTTCTGCCATTTGAAACATTTCACATGTCATGCACTGCGTTTCATGAAAACACCCATGCAATGTAATTCTTTACTTTATGGGGTGCGTTGTTGCACATCATAATTTCCTTATTACTGCTGGTTTCTAAAGAAATCATTCAATGACTTTTAGCTGGAACTCCTAATTGTAGTTTTGCATTAGAAACTACTTTGAAAAACTTTAGTATGTCTCAAGTGATGTCCTTTCTGCTTCTAATTAGAGAAGAGTTTTAAAAGAGCCTTGCTCAACATAATCATTATTCATCCTAGCAGTAGGTAGATCGACTGGGTGCAATGTGTCAGAGGGTTCATAATCAGAGAATCTGATTTCACATCTCCTTAGCCTTACAGAGCACTTTAGTTATTTTCATTTCATTTGAATGAGTGACTTTATTTCAGATAATCCAGTAAAATAAAATGTTAATTCATACAAGCATGATGTATTTTTAATAATATATAATTACATGTATAATTCATGAATATGTCTGAAACAGGGTTAGATAAAGTGAATCTTATTTATTCATATCCCTTCACCTACCTATATTCCATAACACTAACAATTTCCCTACTTCACATATAAGTCCAAACTAGGGCTGGCCACTTAAATGCATTTGCAATATAATCCTAATTTAGCAAAATGCAATTTTCAAATCACAGACGTGCTCAATTTCAGTAACATTATACCATATACCAAGAGTAAGAGACTGAATTTCTCCTTCCAGCCCTTTAGGTAGTGGTAACATGTTTATAGTGGGTTTGTCGCCTCTCAGAAAGGAAGAGAAAGTTGCAGCTAGCACGCATATCAATGCATGATTGTAGATATAAGAACTTTTTCACTAAAGGGTCACAGTGAGTCTTGGACTCTGGACAAGCAAGCTTTTAAGGTCATGAAAAAGTGAAACCCTCAACCCTCATCTAAATGCTTGTGATGGGCAAAGGGCAATCTCAATAAAATCACAATAATTGCAATTTAGATTTTTGGCAACATTGTTCACCCTAGTTCATACTACTTAGAAGTACATTAAGTACATAAAAACATTTGTATAGACATTCACATGTGCCTACACACATCTTTACTCATACAAATATTACCCAAAGCCCAAATTACCAGAAACTTTACAAAATATGTATACACCTACTGTATGTACCTGACTGAGGGGCTGGTTATACTCACACACCAGTGTGTCGCAGTGAACTTGTCACAGATATTTTTTATTTATGCCCATTATTGAAGCGTGGTCTGTGCTATGTTATTCCACGCCACAATGCAAGAGGGACAATCCCAATATAGCTGTGGGTCTAGATACAGCCGAGGCAGTGAGGAATTGGAAAAACGCAAGGGGCAAGTTTGTAGCCTGGGTGCCATTCCGAACTTAGTCCCGCCCACAACGCTTGAGGTCGGGAAGTTCGGTCTGGCATTGCTTAATAGTAGCGGAGTATGCTCGCACAATATCTGGCGGGCCAATCAAATTGTCAGGGCGGGCTTTGTACGATGATGGACAGATGATCAACAGTAACGTAATCAACCACGTGACCAATGTGCGCTTGGGTGACAACAACAATGGCTGCAGCTGGAGAGTTGAGGTGTGTAGATTCTGCTATTAGGTCTGTTCTAGAAGATATGGACAGCAAATTAATTTTAAAAGAGGAGCAGAGAAACGCGATCAGGGCTCATCTTCTTATTCTAGGCGTGCAACTGCATGCTTTGATTTTTGTTGACAACGACTATGCGTCGCTTAACATACGTCACGCACTCCGTTGCTCTTATTGGTTGTAGGTCTATCCAATTGAGTGCAGAGGCATTTTTTTTTCCTGGTTCGTTCGAAACACGCCCCATGATCACAGCTCTATGGAGCAGTATCAGACTCATATTCTGACTAGAATTGAGTAGGACTACATCAGGCTAGCAAGTTTGTGCCACAACGGAAGAACATGAGGGCGAAAAAGAGCAGGAATCCAGGTGGAAAAAGGTTCCCAGCATTCTCGCACACCTCGCTCTTCTAGCTGGTTGAACTTCACGAGTCGTTTTCCACAATGGCGGTCATACAAAAAAGAAAAAAAACGGTAAGGTACCAAACAGGAAATATGCATAGTGTAGAGCGGATGTAGATTTGACCAATCAGAGGCCACCTCTCTGAGGCTCTGTCTGCGGTTTTGCAGAGGTGCAATAGAGTGTCTGCATTGGGGGATGCATGGTCTTACTAAAAAATAGTAAGAGATGATAGTAAGAAGATGCATGGTCTTACTAAAAAATATCTTTAAAAAAGCCTTTTTATTTGAGCATTTATGACTAAAACATAGTTTGATGAGTACACTGACACCTTAGTAGTAAAGCACCATTATAGCCATAAACCTGTAGCCTATTTTCCTTGAATTTACTTTGGGTCAGAATTTCCTGTGCTGTTTCTGCTGGTGCTACCTCAAGGGCGTCCATGTTGAATGGATTCAATCTAACAAACAGTTTAAGCATAAAATTCAAGATGGATTTTGTGGATACTCAGACGCAACAGACATCCAGCTCCAAAACTCTGAAATGCCTCTTTAATGTTAGACTGAAACTTTATTTTCATCTTGTATACACAGAGTGTATACAAAAGACAATTCTGATACATACAGCTTTTTGACAGTGAATGAGCAGCTTAGCAGTGAAATGAACATTTCCATTTATAAAATGTGAACAGTGTAGGAGAGACATAGTGCAAAAGGGATTGATGTGGAAGGTTCAGAGCAGTACAAATAAATAGATAAATAGATGTGGTGCAAAATGCAGTGGAAATACTGAGTTGAACTTAATTTAAAGGGATTGGAAGATTTGTCATCTAGTGCAAGTACGATATTTACAGTGGGATGCAGATGTTCACTGCGCTTCTTTCATTTCATATCTTTTAAGAAAGCCAAATCTTCCAAAACTGTCTCATGTTGGTGATTGCTTTATTAGAGATTTTATTTGATTCTTTCATATCATTTTTTAAATTGCACATTTTTTGTAATATGCAATATTTTAACATTTAGATAATTCCTGTAACTATGCCCTCCGTCCCTCTCTCTGAAACGTACCTCTATGCTGTCTGGTTGCTCTTTATTTCTAGTTTTACACATGAATTTTGAGGTTTGATTTTCTGCCACATCAGAGAATTTAAGCAAGCAGGAATGAATGAATAATGGATTAGGGTGGTCATAATAGCCAGCCTTATGAATAACCCTGATGGCTCCTTTCATCAGCGTGCATAGAGGTTTGAGGGATGCTGTGTAGGTCTTCTATGCAAAAGCTCAGGTACGGTAAAATCAGTAGAATATGTCAGCCTTTGTAACTCAGAAAATGTTTCTCTTTACAAAGAACTGCAATGTTTACAGATAGTTTGGTTTGAACACTTTTTACATTAGTTTTTCTGCCGATTGTGGAGATTCATGATGTGAATAATAGAAATGAATCAAGTTTCTACAAAAATTTGCCCCTTGTGTGCCTAGAAACATTAAAGCATTAAGAACTTGATCAAATTAAGAGATGAACTGAATTATACCTACTTAAAAACAACATAAAAGTCAAGTGCAGTTAAAGGTACAAATCTATATAAACATCTTACTGTGATCTAAGATTTTCCACCTTGAAACTGAATATGGAAGGTAGAAGTCTACTTTAAAACAGTGAGAAGCACAAGTTCACCAACAGTGAAAAGTATCAGTTCACAGTAAAGGCCGAAATGGAGGAGGCTCCTAAGACAGCAACTCTCCAGGAGGAGAGTTTAGAGCACCTGAAGTCTCCAACTCCATGTAGACATATGCAGGTTTTAACAAGAATATTCAATAAATGTCAGTGAAAAGTAGACGTTCCCCAACAGTGAAAAGTAGTAGTTATATAAAGACTGGCCGTCAGCAAACAGTACTAGGATAATGGGACAAAAACAAAGTGCTAAGGAATTGCCTCCCCCCAAGAGAAAAAACAAAATAATTGATTTATTGTGTAGAGAACTTGGGCCATAGTAGAGTCTATACCTTTCTGAAACATTTAATTTGTAGTCCAACTTTTATTTTATTGCCTAAATTGTGCCACAGCTATTTGTTTGCCTCTGTTTTTCCTTTTTTTTTTTAACATCCTGTTCATACACAGAACTTTGAATGGTCTTATTACAAAAATTTTCTACTGTACATATTTAAACTTGCCGGGGCTTGAAGCTCCAGAGCTTCGTTGTTTTCTATCAGTTTGTCTAGGCTGCTAACACCTTCACATATTTAATGTGCTACTATAATCATGAAATCACATTCTTATTCCACTAAAAATGTGCATTCTTATTTATTGCCACCACTACAACTTGAAATGTTGGGCATCTTGTCTTTTTTTATTTCACAATGTGTATCAGAGTTTTTTGGTGAGTGGAAATAATTGTGTTTTGTCCAACATGACAACCATAAACAATTTCCCTGGCAGCATACACAGAACTGAATAATTCAATCTGACTGCGATGACAGGAATCTAAATGATTCATCTCCTCTGATACACAGGGAGTCTGTAAAAGGTAAAGAGTACTTACCTCTAGATCTTAACACTCTCGGTTCCGTAAACGTTGTAGCCTTCTCTGTATGTGGCAAAGTTCTGGGTGTTGGTCGGGGGAGCGGGCTTAAAATTTTGGGTATTCTTGGCCAATTTTAGCCGTTTGGTTTCTTGCCTTGATTTATAACAGAACTCTATCAGAGCCACCATCATTGCAAGCCCCAGCCCTCCAACCAGAATATAGAAGACACCTGCCACATTGCTTAGGCTGAGAGCACTTGTCTTGTCCTGGGGGAAAGTGAATATCAAAGTTAAGAGTTTTATACTGGAAAAAAGGCAACATTCAAAAGGCAACCCTGAAACTATGCTGTTAACTACTAAATGTAAATCTAATCATAGCTAATTGAGAAAGCTATCAACATATAAACCAAAAACAAAAAAGCCAAGACTATATTAATATAGCTAAAAAATCTTATAGTAGCCAAGAAATCTTAATTTTTAGATAGAAGAGTTTAACTCTGCTGGTGAATGTAGAGCTTTGCCTGTTATAAGCTACATAAACATTAAAATGGCTTCTGCTCTTAACCAAAAAAGGAAGCCGGTCAGTATCGCATAGGTCGATAGCTCTTAAAAAAAGATCCCTGTCCTTTTAATTCTCTAAGAGACATGTACGTATAACTCTTATGGCAACAATGTCATACAGTACAGTCAAGTTGATAGCATATGAATGATAGCTGAGTTAAGAGTAAAAAAAACTATCAATCCAAACCATTTTGCTGCTGCTTACCTACCAAATGTATTACTTCAAAATTTGTTCATTAGAGTTTTACTATTTGCAGTTTAACCCTATGAGTGTGGAGTTATACTATAACCCTATGTTGATATCTGATACACCTGGATCTCAAAGGGTTAAATGACGGGTTTATTAAATTCTTCAACTTCTTGTAATGCTCAAACAAAGCATCTAAGCCTGCTCTCTGAGTCACCACAAAATTTAGAGGACACCCCGTGGCGCTCTGAGAGGTTGAATTTGTGTAACTCATCACAATAAGAGGGTTTGCTTGTTCATCACACCACAGGACACCAAAGAATCTAATAGACACGTCACGATGCAAAATAGTAAGAACACAAACAAATCAAATTTTCATTAACGGTTTGGTAAATAGAAACAGCAGCATAATGGTCATAGTATCATGAATGTCAAGAATGGAAATGAGCAAAAATAAACAGCATTTATCAACATATGTTAACTGCTGTGATTCAGAATAAAAAAAAAGGCACTTGCTCAGTTTCCCCAAAAAGTTATCGTTACAGTTTTTATGAAAAAGAGTGTCACATATTTTAAACTGCCTAAAAAGGTGTCTAGATGCAAATATTATTAAAAAAAAAATAATAAAGAGAGAATTAAAAAACTAGGGGAAGCAGTGCCCATCGCCGCGCAGAGGCTGGGTTACAGTGTGCGGCAAATTGTGAAGTTTAAAAAAAAGCAAAGTGTGTAGAAAATAAAGAAAATGCATTCTAGACATGTAAGAGTTCTTGTCTTGCATATGAACAGTACGTCAAAATGCAATTTGGAATCAGTACAAAAGACCTGCAGCGACTGACCTTACTTCCAGAGTCCTTGGTTCCACATTCACCCTTATCGTACCACCATTTGTTTTTCAGCTTGTCTAAGATGCCTTGTTCACTGAGTTTCAATACTGCAAGGTTTACAGGAGTTCTTCACGTGGGAAATAACATAAATAACATTATATTATGTTATTTTATGTTATTCAACTTTTAAACTACTACATATTTTACAAAGCGATAAAGCAGGGCACCTGGCTCAACATCACAAAGAGCAGGCATTCTACCTATCACCTGTATAACCCCTAGTCTAAAGCCAGGACCTACCTAATCGCTTTGAGTAATCGGCAGATGCTGCTAACAGAGCGACGAGCAGGTACTGTGAGTACGATCTGCAAGTCTATGAACCAATACATGGACAGGGGGAACCAGAGGCTTTCAGCTGTAGGTATCGTTTTTTAGGATCTTTGTCATTACTTAGAAAAAAGAATTAAAATGTAATTTAGACCTCATGTCTTTAACAAATTTATTTTTCTTTTTTTATATGTCTAATTATGAGTCCATAATAACAAGAACACATTCTGGAAGTGAATGAAGTGCAACAATTAAAGCCATATTATGCATTACAAGGTTTTTTGGGGCTGATTACTAAGGAAAGTTTTCTGTTTTGGCAAGTTAGGAAGTTAAAGCTTCAGGATGAAGCTAACGATTAGTGAGATATTTGTCCTATGTTGGCCTCCAGCAGCAGAACTGTATTATTTAACATGTTTGGAAAGTATCACAGCAGATGTAAGTAAGAAGACAGAAAAGCACACATCAAGGATCCACCTAATGAGTTTTAGTCGGCTGAAATTTAGCTGCATTTGTAGGTAAATGTAAAAGTTGAATTGACAGAAAAAAATAGAACATTGATAAATGAGTGACCTGACTACTACCTGGAAATCCATACCACAGATAACACACTGAAAGAAGATTACACCACTGTATGTCATTCATAGCCAATCTGTAGAAACAGAGTGTGAGGACCAACCCATTGTCTCCACTTGGAGAGACATTGATTAACAATGCAATTACCCAGCAACATGCTCTGTGTCTGAAAGTCAATCTATGCAGCGGTGTGTTGGGCCTGAGGGTGAGGGGAAACTCGGTGTCTCTGTGTGTTTCTGTGTGTGTGCAGGGGGCAGATTGGATGTGCATACTGCTGGGTGAAAACAAATCTGTGCATCTCTTCAGGTCTGCTAACGGGACCACAAAGCCAACGCCAGACCACATGATTGGATGTTCCAAACACATCGCTCCAGGCTAGTTTAGTCTACCTATCCAATGATCCCTAAGGAAAACCTATGAAACAGACAGATTGCACATTTCCTGGACTTCTATAGCACATTAGACAAGAGTGATAGAAACTGCTGTGTGTGGTAAGGAAAACTGTTAAGACTAGTGAGGTAAAAGGTTGCTGGGTAAATATTAAAACATGTTTGTCAAAAGATTACAGGAAAAAAAAGCAGTAAAAAGCTAAAAATCACATTCTTACAAACCTAAAAAGAAAACAATAAAAAAATAACATATAAATATATATGATTATGCATATGCTGCATCCTGAATTTTATTGTATTTATTGTGTTCCTCTGGTAATATGCTATTAATAGAGGTTATTGATGAAAAGGGTTTTTCTAATAATCTTTATCATATATGCATTTCTTTTCATGTTCATGTGAATAATTATCCCCTAGGAAGATACAAAAGAACCACACAATGTTTGTAGCACAAGGTCCTAGAATAATTATGTCGAACCACTTTGACAACTTAAAATAAGCAGCTCATTTAATTGAGTTACTTTCCTGGCAGGGACACAGCTTTTAAGGGTGGCTTATACATTTTGAATTAGTTGGTGGTTCAGGCCATTCCAGAGGCTTAATGTTAGCAGGCTTTAAAAACCAACTTTGGTCTGTGTTTGGGATGACTGGCCTTTGGAACACCCCACTGTGTTCCCATTTCCAACAAGCTCCGGTTTATTTAAACTGGAAGATGGAGGAAAATTAAGTTTCTACTGCTACTAGACTATTGAGACTAAGCTTCAGATTCACAGCTTACACATTGACCATATATACTGTATGTCCATTGACACTGTAAGGTTAAAATCCACATTAAACTTGATGAAACAAGCTGTCCTGAACAAATAGATGTCCAGCACTAGCTACCCCTATAAACTGGAATTATGTATTTGATCTCTGTAGGGATGTCATCAGTGGACAATTTTTATTGTAGTTTGTTGATTACTTTAAACATGAATAACTTTTAATAAATAGAAATAACAAAAATTAAAATGCAGCTTTTATGAATTTGTTTTTTTAACCAATAAATGGAATTCCCTTACAGCTGCATTATAAAGAATATGTACAATGCAGAAAAAGTATTGTCAAAAACAAATGAATATGGTAATAATTAACTAAGAATTGTGTACTTAACATAAAAAATTATACTATTATTTAGGAGGATATGTATAAATAAAAAAAAAAAATTTAAAACTCATATTCTAGGTTATTTCAGTTCCCCCTTAGCAAAAAGTAGTTTATTCAAGTATACTAAAAGTGCACTAATTTCATACTTAAAATCAGGGAGTGCACTTAGAGTTTACGTATTCTAAACTATATTCCATATACTTAACAATAGTATAGTCAAGTGTACTTGACTATACTATTGTTTACTTTATTGTTTACTAAAATATACTTTAAGTGTACTTTAGTGAACTTAAAAATGTCCCAATTTAGTTCGAAGAAGTATTACTTTAGTAATACTTCAAGTACACTAAAAGTACATTGTTCTGTATACTTTCTAAACTTATACATAAGTATTCTTAATAGAATTTACTTCAAGTATACTACTTTTTGCTAAGGGATAAGTGGAATCAGAAATAATAATAATACTATTAAATAATAAGTAATAATACTTTTTAAAGTTGACCTATACTTAATATTTTTATTCCATAAATTAAAGAAACATAATTAATAACAAGCAGTGTTGCAGCATTACAGTTATGCACATTATATATTGTTCAGACTCTAAAGACAGAAAGGTGCTAATACCTTTTAGCTTGTCGGAAATCAAGGTTGTTATCTTCCTGAAAGCAAAGAGTGTCATTAAACTGAGCTACTCTGTGTAATGTTTCAACCATCCTCTGTGAAAAACAGAAAAAACACATCATTTCGAAGCTCATTTCACCAGGAGCTAATCGATGTGTCACACTTTCCACCACCGGTTGGTGATTGCAGAGATCTGATGATCAGTGGGGGGGCAGTTGGATAGGAATCAAAGCACAGGTAGGTTATCAGGTCACTCATTTAGAAAGAACAAAAGTGTTGTTTTTAATTAGAATTCTCACGTTTGCCTGTAATGCTTAGTCCCCTCAAGACGCCGCTGTTCCCCTTGCTTTATGGTTGGCCTCCGCCTAGCAGCCATCTTTGATTTTAGAAGAACTTCTTTCTCTGAACCCAAGCTGATATGCTGAAACAGCTGTGTACGCAAAGACGTAGCTATGTATTGAGAAAATATTAAGGTTTTGACATAACTAAAGTTAACAATATATTAAGACATGTCTGCAATACATGTCAGCCATAAGTGAGAGCAATCATTTTAGCAACTAACAGTAAGGCTGAACATATAACAGGGAAATTGCTCTGTTGATTCATTTTAGTCTTCAAACGGTGTGTGTTATGGAACATTAAAAAGGTTGAAAGCTTAAGAATTATAATTTTCTTTGAAAATTTGCAGGGCTTGCTTCTTCACACATATATTTAAAAACGCCATAGCCAGATAGAAATGTCTAATTCTAAATTAGACTGATATTCTCTAAAAATGTAAAAACAATATTTAAAGCAACTGCTTTCTCTCACAGGTTAAATAATCTGGCCCTTAGCCCTGATACAAACACTCGCCAATCATAGGAGGAAGTTGAAAGAAATAGATTCAATGCTAAATCTTTATTTTCTTACTGCGCAGGTCTTGAGAAGAAATCAGGATCAAGTAAAATTGTTATCAAGAGGTCCCCACTTTTTAAAACCCTGAGATTGTAGATTGGCCATAAAACTCTGATCAATGCTTCTCTACGATTGCTTGTATTGATTAAACTGCCCTTCACATGTGTTAGGCTGAATAAACATGTTTCATCCTTTCACAACGGCAGGGCAGCTACATTCATTTCCAGAATCCTTGTCATTTATTACTCAGTATTTTAACTTAACAAAATATTTTTCATCCGGTCAAGGCCAGAGCTCCTTAGCTTAATTAAGCTGTTACGCCGTCTGGTCAATCTAACTGTAAATATTCCTCATCTGCCTCAGTGCAGCAGGTCTGTTGGTTTGGTCTGGATTGGGTTTGCTGTCGGTTGGGTTATATGTTGGCAGCTTTGCCGATTACTCTGCACTATGGTACCCGATTGTGGTGACATCGAGGCTGACCTTGGAGTCACCTCCCCCGCTGCCGCACTCTCCCTTGTCGTACCACCATTTGTTTTTCAATTTGTCCAAGAGGCCTTGCTCATTCAGTTTTAAAACTGCCAGGTTAACAGCATTTCTTGAAACGATAAAACATAACTTGTAAGAAAATGCACAGGTCCGTGAGAAATCTAATGCAAAGTGATAATGATAAGTCATAATAGGAAGGTAGTGAAACTACCAGTGTCAAAGAAGGGGCTTATGCATAGACTGTGGTTAATCAGAATAGTCTAGGAAGAGGACAAATTGCTTAGGAATTTAAGGAATATGGAGAGATAAGAGATAAGGCTCATATAAGGCAGAAACAGTGTTAAATCTTGGAAAAAGGTGGCATGAAGGGTTACGTAGTTTAGAACTGAAGTGTGCGGGATGGGGACACTTGTCATTGAGAAGAAAAAGTAACAACAAACATCATGCAATTAACATTCGTCACAAGTGACAGCGCAGCTTTTAAAGGCTAAATTGAAAAACCATTGAACTGTTAAATTAAAAGTGACAACACAACAGTCAGGTAGGACAGCACACAGGACAGAAGGAGGGATCGAAGGAGAGAAAAAAACAGCAGTAAGAAAGACATAAATATGAAATGATCATTAGCTTTCACCTTCTCATATGGTTTTTGTCTTTTTTAACATAACACACCAATTCAATGCAGAAAAAACCCCATTAAATAATCTTTGAATCCAACTATAGTTCATTGCATTACTACCATTACCTCTGCGTCCATACAAAACAAAGAAGAAGAGAAGAAAATGACAAGGGGACATCAGGGTAGGTGGAATACTATAACAACAGGGGGAATATTGTTATATTATTCCACCCACCTTAATGCTGAGCCTTTAGGCGTCGCCACACCGTAGCCTTTGGAGTCGAGGTTCCCTCCCACTTTCATGGTGTCGCACGGCTTCCGCTGCTCGATGTACTCATTCATTGTGGACTCAAGGAGAAAGGCAAACTTGCCCTTCGACTTTCGCACTCGGGCAACACCGTCTGGTGTGGTCTTAACAAACACAGAGGGCTCTGCAGATTTCATGTATGACCACATCTTCTCGTATACCGCTATTTTGGATCGCTGTGCAGAGGAGAGAGGGAGAAGGACTTTAGACGTTCCAAAATCTTGCAAACACAGGATGGATTTTGCAGGATTTTTGTGCTTAATGATCACTTGGTTTAAATAGGTGCTGCAAAGTATTTATAGACATCTAGGAAAGTGGGAGTGATATCTTTAAATACTTCCAGAAAATATGGCAGATGAACATTTATGTGATCACGTGGTACAAGAATTTACAAAATCCATTTCTTCTCTGCAGTGTTAAAGCAGCAAAACATATAACATCTCAAATTTCCTGCATGTAAATGCATCACACATTAACAAGTTTGAATTGATCAGTTGAAAGAAAAGAAAATGCATGCGGTTGTTCCATGAAAGCATCCTAAATTATTCAACTGACGGTAAACAGCAGGCAATGATATTTTTATTTGAAATCATGCATAATTCCAATATCATGTCTTTGATAGATATTCAGCCTCAGTGAGGGAAGTTAGGCTTTGTTCATAATTCAACATCAACTTGTAGAGCTTATTACAGTCATACATTTGAGAAATATAGTTAATGAAATATCTTAAGAGTGACTCAGAGGCATTGAGTAGAGGAAGCTGGAGAAGTGAACAACAAAACACCCCGTGACAAAGTGACAGAGACGAGTGCTTCTCCAGCGCCGCAGGTCAGGCTTAGTGAGACTGTGAAATCTGGGAGAGTTGGACGCTATCTATAATAAGCATCAATTAAATTATTCAGTGCTGCTGGATTGACTTTAGCATAGCCATGTCACACAGCCTGGTGTGATCATGGTTCATGCAGAAATGAGCTATAGCCAAAAAAAAGTAGCCTGCGAAGATTTAAAGTAAAGAAACACATTTTATGAAAGCAAATACCAAATTCAAAGTAAGCTGATTGGTATATATTTTAAATTTTTCAGAGCTGAAGGATTTTTTTATGTTTCTTACAATGTTAAATAAAGCAAACAAAAAAGAAATTTCCCTTTAAAAGGTTTATAATTTCCATCTAATCAATTAAAAATTAAAGATTTAATTAACACAAACACCGTCTTCTCTCACCAAAAGTTCTTTTTGTTTTCATGGATTTTTTTTCCCAGTTTTCTTCTGCACAGTGTATAGCTCTCCATCAGAGATTTATTATGTGACATTTGGGTTAATATGACCATCATTTGATCTAACTCTCTTTGATATTGTCACATTTAAAGCGATTACTATGTCTAATATTGTGTGGCAATGAAAGAAATCAATCCTCCCAAAAAATACACTTCGAGTAAAAGCTTATTTAGATGTCTACTGATTTATTTAAATTCAGTTATTTTACTACATAGTGCTTATTAGCAATATGTTATCACCAGTCACTTTACAGAGACAAATCAATTCAACATACTCATCTAATAGGTTTGTTATTAGTAATTTCATTTATTTTCAGATTTATTTTTTGGCCATCACCAACAAGGCTCTGCAGTGATCATTCTACACCAAGATGGCTATATAAAACAATATAACTTGGTATACATTATAATTTTTTTTTATTTAGGAGCTATAACAGATGACAGGTGGTTTTTAAGTCCCAATTGTATCCTTCCAGGATCAGCAGAGGTGCTGCATCACGTACCACTGCTGCAAAGAATGATCGCCAGTAACACAGATTTATAATGAGCCTAGCCCTTGGAGATAACCACATTATGGCTGTACCTGCATTGCAGATGTAATTCCACCGGACACCAGTGAGAAAAAAGTAAGAAATAACATCACTCTATCAGAAGGAGATAGGGATTTCAGGTAGGGTACGTAGATGATGTCATCCTTACCCTGTGCTACAATGAACCTGTAGGAATTCCAAAACTGCATATACTGAGGTGACTAATTGGTTCTAGGTGAGCAGAATATTGCATTTACAAGAGGCAAACCTCCTTAGAAACCATCCAAATTGGAAAATGTAAACAAAAATATGTATTTTTATTCATATATTTCAGAGATTCAAATGCAATAGATTTGCACCAGTTAATTGTCTGCTACGATCACTGACTTCATCACATTTGTTTTTGTTGCAGCTGTCGGTAACAGCATCCAGTATTGCTTGTTGTCTCGCTGAAACTACTATAGCTGAACCCCATGCATTTTGAACTCCTGCTCTGACTGGTCTTTATTATATTCTTCTTCATCTGAGTTGTGGATTCCTCAGGGGTAAGATCCAAGAGGCAGCATGAAAAGGCTTCTGAAGCAATGATGGAATCTATCAAAACTTGCTTTTCTGCCAGACTACTTACTAATGCCAGCTGATATCTGTAAACCTCAGCTGTCAATCATTGCTGTCCATGCCAATTAAAACTGCAACCTAAATACAACAAGCAGGAATTAGCAATTTTAAAGAAAGTCAATTTAAGGTGGTTTTGTGGCTAGTGTTCAATTCTCTCTAGGAAAGTAGCTACACCTTTTGTTTGCTTTTGTGATTTGCTACCAAGCAATAGTGTTGGACACAGTTCCATGCATCAGGGCGATACTTGCCTTTTTTTAACCTAAGGAGCCACAAGTCCATCAGTTTACATGTAGTCAATTAAAAATGAGAAGAATTATAATTAACTTTTAAACAATCTTAAATTGATAATACAATATTATTAAATGATGATTATGATTATAATAAGGACTTGACCAATGAAACGTAAAATTGGTTTCTGGACCAATGCTTTGGTTTATCAGATTATGAGCCTTCAGATGGGATTTCACAATTACCAACAGGGGAGAAATAATCAAAAATACATTTAAAGTGTCTTTGATATTTTGTGCATTATGCTGGAATGTAAAATTTATCATGGATTAAGTTTATAAACATGCTTTTAAAAGTAAAACCACTTTATTATTGTTCTATTGCTCTCATTAGGTATAGTAGAAAGTGGGTAAAACACATTGCTCTTTCTACTTTGAAGTTGACCAGAATAATAACAACACATCATCAGCTGCATTACTCCTCCAGTCAAAATATGGTGAATATGATAGAGGGATCTCTGCCTTGAATTAGAAAGAGTCCCCTGAACAGGAGCATATCCATCTCTAATGCATTTTCATTAATAAACAAAAGCATTAACCTTGACCAAATGAAAGTGCTTTTCTGGCTTTGTGTAATCATATAGTTTGTTTGCAGGCATCTGTCACAGCAAATCAGGGCATGGGTGAGGCTAAGATGAGACAGCCCCATTATACAATTATAGAAATCTGTTTTTTTCCCCCTTCTGAAATGAACAAACCCGATGCTTGGGTTATATCCTTTCGGCTCTAATGCAAACACAGCAAATGAGGGGAACAGCACTTAGTGACATCTGCTGTTTTTTTTACTTCCAACAATCATAATTTGGTGTGTGAGAGAGCATGAAAATAAGACTTGCTTGGAGGGCATTTCCCCAAAGACACAGGGCTCATCTTCTCGCCGGTGAGAAATCTCCTCGTGTATTGAGAAAGGAATAGATCTCACCGTTGATCAGTAACAACGGAATGTGCTGCCGCCGTGCCTTATGAAGTCAATTTATCAATATCAGAGAGGTTTGCAAATTGTGACCGAAGCCCAAATATGCCCAATTCACTGGAACTAAAAGTCTCAGCCGAGATGCTGCTTCCAGCAGGGAACAGGGAGAGAAAGCGGGATTTGAGGAGCGAGCGCAGCAGGGAAAGAGAACTATTTGATTGTTGACTGCTGGCACATTAATGTGCACACTGACAGCCTCACAAAGGCATTCATATTTACAGCTGACTAATACGAACAAACATCACTCATCTCTTTTTAAACGTTATCATTCATGTTCTTTGGTGGGCATGTAAAATTCAATTAGAGAGCAATTACCAACGTCCATAAGCAATCAAGAGACAATTTAAGGAGCTATTAAATGAGGTTATAAACACAGCTTTATATGTGTGGCCATGCTATAGATTACATAATGACCCTGTTAATGTATATGGATGGATTTTACATTTTAATGGGATGTAGAAGTGAAGGATTTTCATATTTGTCTTAAAAAACAGACGTAACTCCAGGCTTTCTCATTTGCATGCATATTATTCTCAGTGTCTTTAAAAGTCATTCTGAAGCAATCACCATGTTGCTGGCTTTATACCAGAGTACCTAAATAGCCAGTCCTCCCACCTCAGTGACACGGTTACATCATCTGTGTAGGTGTTCAACCTGCAAATCATCCAGAAACAATGAGCTTCCTGCCGTCTAGTAATGTAATGTTTTTCAAAGTCTCTGACCTGAGACGAGAAAGCAGACAGGAATTGCCTCAGGGGAAGCAGGGTTATGTTGAAAGCAGTGGTCCATAATAGCTTTGTTTTACAAATATCTAATACTGTAGACTTTTATTGACTGTACAATTCCTAAACATAAGATAAAATGGGTGGACTGAAGTGCAATGAAAACACATTCATTGCTATAGAGACTGTCTGAGGGATAATTAAGGATATTTTAATTAAATCAATATGGCTTTCTTTTTGTTTTTACATCACCTTTACATTTGATGCCCAGCTACTTTTCTGGATTTAATAATAAATTTAATAAGCTTACATTTTTTTAAATAAATTTGTGTCTATATTCCCTTTTTCTTTTGACACCTCCAGCCACCTCTCATATTGGCTGGATATCACACTAATGAACTATACTTAAAACAGTTTGGTTTTTCCATATGAACTATTGCATTGCTGCTCGATGGTGCTTTTCTTTAGTGCGTTTGCTTCTAAATGTCAGGTTTTAGCTCACAGAAACTTAACAGATCCCCCCTAAAGGCTGTAATATCACCCATTAGAGTAGGAGTTATGAGAACAGATTTTCAAAATAAACTTTCATTAGATTCCCCTGGCTTTTAGTTTAACCTTTGTTGGGTTTTGTTTTACATTTTTGTAGTATTAAGGTGTGTTAACTGCTGGGTGCTGTTTGTGTTTTTTTATTTTCTTTGCTACTGGATCAAACATGTTTAAGATGTCCTTCAGTCTGTTCACATCACATCTGGCCTGCCTGGCTCTGCTTAT